AACATTGGGTTGCATACTTCGATAAGCCCGTGAGTGACACAATCATCCAATTAAGTAACGACTAGATGCTAATATTCTCCAGAGTACATATACCCTCGGTCTCGTCAACACATCTTATAATATCGGCGGTATCGTGTCTGGATTCTTCTTTGGTGGACCAATTGTATGCGGACTATCCATCATTTGACGAAGCATTCATATGCTAACATGACTTAGGCCGATAGACTCGGACGAAGATGGGGAATGGGAATCGGTTGTTTCTTAACCATTATTGCTACATTTGTCCAATGTTTTGCACCAAGAGGAAACTTGAATGCATTCATCGGAGGTCGTGTCATCATTGGTCTTGGACAGGGAATTGCTTTGAGTATGTATCATTCAGAATACTTTTCAAAATTACATCTAACAATAGTATAGCTGCCGGACCAGTTTACATCGGTGAACTTGCACCACCTGAGATCCGTGGTAAAATCATGGGTTTCTGGCAATTGTTCTACTCAGTCGGTTCTTTCATCGCCTATTGGATTGCCTTCGCCACTGGAAAACACACCGCTGCTCTCGGAGATTGGGATTGGAAAACCATTGTCATTTTCCAAATGTTGGTTCCAATCATCATCTGTATTCTCCTCCCTTTCATCCCCGAAACTCCTCGTTGGTACATTTCACATGGAAACGTTGAAGGAGCCCGTCATGCCCTTCTCCAAGTCCGCGACACTGAACAAGAAGTCGAAGATGAACTCCTCCAAATCAGAGAAGCGCTCGAATACGAAAAGGAACAAAAGTCTACCAGTTCTTATAAGGCTTTGTGGATGGATAAATCCGTCCGCAAGAGAATGTGGATTGCTTTCATCATCAATGCTGGTCAACAACTTACTGGTCAGGGAAGTCTCAACAGTTATTCCTCAGCTATCTACAAGGGAATCTACAAAGATGCTGAAACTATCAACCTTATCAACGCTATCAACGGTACCTGTGGTATTATCTTCACACTCAACGCCGTCTGGACCGTCGATCGTTATGGACGTAAATTTCTTTTCATCATCGGAGGATTCGGAATGGCTCTCTGCATGATCGCTTTTGCTGCCGTCGGAATCGCAACACCAGATTCATACTATATGAGCGGAACAACGAAAACTCTCACCAAAGATCAACCCGTCGGAATTGCACTCACATTCCTACTTTTCTTGTTCATCTTCTTCTACAAACCCACTTGGGGAGCCACAACTTGGATTTGGACCTCCGAAATCTTCAGTATGAATGTTAGAGCCCAGGCCGTGGGCATGTGCAGTCAATGGCAAAACGTGTCGAATTTGATCTTCAATCAATTCTTCCCTGTTTTCTTGGCCAAGTGCAGTTTGTAAGCCTCCTCCCCCTTTCTTCCTCCTCCTTATCTTTGTACAAATAACTAACATTCCCTCTTCTAGCAACACATTCTTCTTCTTCGGCGGTATAAACTGTCTCCTCGCCCTCTTCGTCATCTTCGTCGTACCAGAAACCAGAAACATCATGTTGGAAGAGATGGACGTGCTCTTCGGAGGCGTAAACCATATCGAGAAAGGAGGTGCGCAGCTTGGGGTTGAGGATACCCACCATGCGCATGTTCAGCATGTCGAGACTGAAGGCGCGGATATCGCCGGGGTGGAAAATGAAAATGTGGTTATGCATGAGAAGGTTTAGATTCTGAGATGCTTATTGAGATTTAGAAGATGGAGTAGCGCATTGGGTTGATGGGTTATATGAATGGGCTCAGGTGGTACGACTGGCATGTACCTACCTATGATGAGGAATTAGTTAATATGAGATGATGTTCAGTATTTATGCATTTAATTCAAGAGTTTTGTCTCTAATAACGTTATGCTTTTGTGTAATACTGAAACATTTTCCTGGTGAGAATCTGCGCATTGTTTTTGAGCTCTCGGACATGAGATTAGATTTGGGAGTGTAGATACAAAGGAGCATTTTCTCGTAGACACCCAGACACATTATCCCTCTGATATCTAAATCGTCACCGAGCCATATGGTCACATAATATCGGGGAAACATATGGCCTATCACAGAAAGGAAAGTAATAACAATTTTGTTCGCCCAGTCGTTTCTCGCAAGCTCTAAAACACTAATATTCAATCTTGAAATAATGCTCACGTCACATTTTATCTATTCAAAAAGAGAAATCCTCTGATGATTTGACACAACATGAGGATTGATATCTGAATTGTTTACTTCTATCAAGGTTCACGAAATTTACTGAAGAATATAAGCCTTTCATTTCTCGTTTGAGCTAATCTTGATCTCTATTTTGCGATTCAAGCTCAACCATTACTTATCAACAATTAAATAGTCTAAAGCGCATTGATCCCCAGTAACCAAAGAATCAGGCTTCGAAAGAGTATCAAACTCCACGAAGCTGAAATCCGCTGGTACGGTACCTGAATCCCCATTTCCAGTTGCATAAACTCCAAGCATCATTCCTGTGAATGCAGCGCCTATGGGTGGATCGGCCGTTATTTCCTCAACTATTGTTTCTCCCATCCATTGTATGACTTTTTCATTGGATTCATCGCATGGTTTAAAGCCTAGTTTGTATCCTTCATCTGTACACCAGATGTACAGCGTTACATCGCCTTTGTTTTTTAGCTCTCCGATATTGTGTCCTTTGGCTTGACCGTTGATGAAGATATGAGTGATTACTTGTTTGCGAGATTCTTGCGGACTTCCCTTGATTCCGATATGGGCGTAAGTTAAATGGTTCCAGTATACTACAGTTCCTGCTTCCATGTGGGCAGAAGTGGGATTGAAGGAGAGCCGAGTAGACCAAACTCCCACGCGAGATGTTTGTTTGCGGAAGAACACAGTAGGGCAAGCTGGACTGCCGAGTGTATATGGACTTCCAAACAATCGTAAGCTAGATGGATTGGTAGTTATCTCGAAATCTTGTTTTTGGGGAGTATCTAAAGTAATAATTAGCATGCTCGATTGAGAATAGGTATTTGAGCATTGAGTGGCATGTTAAGGATCATACGAGGTGAGCTTACTCTTTTGATACCATCCAAGTTGTAACTTTGTACTCGTAAATTCATCATGCCACTTGGCAGGTTGTTGGACCTGATATAATCCTAAACCCTCGCTTTGAAGGGTAATTTTCTTGCCTTCGTTTACAACTGGCCAGTCGTCCTCCCACGTCATAGGTACGAGAAATGTCTCTCTTCCTAGATATCTAGATTAGCTGCTATACGTTAAGGCAGCCAAATTTCTCCTCTTACCAAAAACAGAAGATTTGACTCCATCAGCTAGTATTATAGGCCGACATGCAAGCAGAACCGCCCACCAGTTTCCTTCTTTATCCTCAACAATATCAATGTGGCCTGTGTTAACCACTTCATCACCTTCAACTCCAATTTTCCATAATGGAGCATCGATGATTTCCCATGGTCCGAAAGGTCCAGTCGATGAACGTGATACCCATTCACAATGTCCTGATTCGGTGCCGCCTTCAGCTGTAAATAGATAGTAGAACTTCCCTCTCTTGAAAAGATGGGATCCTTCTGCAATGCCCGACGGAGAAGAGCGAATTACCTGGGGAACAGATGTAGAAGCCCCAGTGGAAATATCAATAGTAGTGATATGGATGGCAAAATCTTTGAGGGGCTTTTCAATTGTACGCTCATGCTTGCGTCTAGTGGTTGATAAATAGACTTTTCCGTCATCGTCAAAAAACAGCTTCCATGACTGTTAGCGTCCAAATCATCATACTTTTTCATCCGAGTCACAGTAACTAATACCTAAGCTAATAAGCATGAGCACTTACATCTTGATCGAACCCCACTTCATCAAACCAAACTGGTTCACTCCACTCACCCCCGAAAACATCTTCCGCTTTACACTTAACGTAAAATCCTCTTGGCCAAACCCTCTGATCTTCTTGTGGCCTGTATCTATCAAAACATGCAGCTGTGATATAAAACCAGCCGTTATGCTCCCTGATAGTCGGAGCCCATATTCCACCTCCAGGTTCAGGGGTCCGAATATCAAGCTGGGAACGACGGGTTAAGGCATGGGATATGAGTTTCCATGATATCAGATCAGTGCTGTGATATATGGGTATCCCGGGAAAGTACTCGAAGGAAGATGTGATGAGGAAGTAGTTATCGCCAGAGCGGATGATGGAGGGGTCGGGATGACTTCCGGGGAGAATAGGGTTGGTGTAGGTATTGGGTTTGGTCATGATGAACTCGGAGTATGGGGAAGTAACTTCAAGATCATCGATGAGGCTCAACATTAAGGCGTGAGAATGTACTTTTATTAAATAAAGTCATTTTGATTTGAAGTGCCTGCATTCTAGTATCAATGCATCATGCATGCGGCCACATGGATTGAATGGAAAGTAACATAATTGGTGGATCCTAATTTTCCCCACAGCAAACTAGCGTAGGAACTGACGGCTGGAGCGTGCATTAGTTCCCGTGACAGTTCAAGTGTGTAAACTTCATCAATCTTACAACAAACAGTTGGTGGTGAGACAATTCTTCAAAATTTCCACCAGCATTTTGACATCACTCCTTTCAATGTTGGAGGCATCGGAAAACCCTTCAAAATCCAATGTGATTCCTCATTTCCTAAGTAAAATAGCAGGAAATATCTCGTTATTGGCAAGCGTGTTCATTGCTTGGCGTTTCGAGAGCTGTCTTCCTTCAATATTAGCCTGTATGCTCTGAAAATCTTCAATCTAGGCTGATATAGTTAACTTCTCCTCTCGGGTGGAGCTTAGATTAAAAAGGTGGTAGATCTACTTGTTCATATCATAGCAGTGGCCAACATGGACATCATGACTCCTCTCTCGGTGGAGTTGGAGTCCGAAATGCATGTCTTCTCCTTCCCAGGGTATGTCTAAGAGGTAGGTACTTGAGATTTATGAAAGAGACCTGGCTTTCCTCATTCCTATTTTCTCGTTGTACTTCGTCCGTACTCCCTCTCATATCTGCGAAAATTGAACATACGCAAAAATGCATCTCAATTCCCGTTCCCACAATATTTTCTCTGTTCTTTTGCTCTCCTCATTGCCTAATCTTTCTTCCTGTGCTGAAACCGTACCTTCAACTCTTTCACGCCCGGAGATCATTGTTGCACCCATCCAACCTGTCAAGGCTCATTTGGCAACTACCGCGCTTTCAACACCCAGAAATCGCACTTGCCATGTCTCCTCCTTGGGCTCTGGCCGCGATGATTCTCCCGCCTTACTTGCCGCCATCAAATCCTGCAACAACGGTGGTGTTGTTCAACTAAATGAAACCCTCTACACAATCTCCACTGCCCTTGATCTCAAATCTCTTCAATCTATCGACTTCAACATCTCAGGCACCATTCAATTCTCCTCTAACATAACCTACTGGACAGCCAATAGTTTTAAGTATGCTTTCCAAAATAGCAGTGCCTTTTGGCAATGGAGTGGAAATGACATCAATTGGTATGGCGGAGGAACTATTGATGGGAATGGACAACCATGGTGGGATGCTTTTGCAAAAGATAGTACTCTTGCACGACCGATATTGTTCGTCATGAATGGATTGACGGGAGGAAGTATGAGCGGGTTGAAGATGAAAAGTCCGCCGAATTGGTTCAATCTCATCACGGGCAGTCAGGATGTGCTTGTTAGTGGGATGACTTTGACAGCAGTGACGAATAATTCTAATCCGGTTAAGAATTCTGGTGGGTTTCCCCAATTATCCACCAACTTTCATTCGTTTTTGGCGGGTGCATCAGACTAACGAGTGCTCAAAGATGGCTGGGACACTTACCTCTCTTCTCATATCACAATTCAAAACTCAACCATCCTTAATACCGACGACTGCGTATCCTTCAAACCCAACAGCAGTTCCATTGTCGTCCAAAATCTTGCATGTACAGGTTCTCATGGCATATCCGTTGGCAGTTTAGGACAATACGTTGGAGTGACTGATATCGTTGAAGATATCTACATTTACAACAATACACTAAGCAATGCCGGTGATGCGGCGAGAATCAAGGTCTGGGCAGGCGCAGTACCAAATTCCGATGGAAGTCTACCTTATGGAGCAGGTGGAGGTAATGGCGTGGTGAGGAATGTTACGTATGACAAGATGACGGTTTCTAGTGTTGATTGTAGGTTCTATATCAGAGATTAGGTCATTTTCCTTTACTAATTGGGAAATGGTAGACTCGATTGAACTCACTTCTTGCTATGAGCAAACTACTGCAAATTGCAACGCTTATCCTGTGAGTACTTTCCTTCATCATCCTCTTTGTATCTCACAAGAACTACAAGAACAACTAGCTGACGATTCTACCAGACAAAAATGACAATACAGGATGTAGTATTCAAAAACTTTGTCGGTGTCTCAAGCACAAAATATGACCCTAAGGTCGGAACTTTGGTGTGCAGCAGTGCTTCTGTGAGTATATTCTCTTTATCTCAAATCACATAATCTTATCTCAAGAATTATGGCCCTCTTTTCAGTAACTATAAACTAACGAGTGAGAAGTCATGCATAAACATCACAGCTCAAAACATCAATATCACCACGCCGAGCAAGAAAACTGCAACATGGACTTGTACGAACGTGAATAAGACTTTGTTGGGAATCAATTGTGTTTAATGGAGATTGAAATACTTGGTCAGGTGATAAGGAACGAAGAAAATAGTACATTAGTTGTTTAGTAGTGGTTGTTGATGGCCAAAATATGTTTTTCGACTGAGGTTATTGTGAGACGAGACTATCGTAAATCAATGACAATGGGAGAAATCTGACACTATTTTGACTAGGTGACAATATCAAAAATGTATATCGAAAATGTGTAATTGAACAGAAATTTTGACAGGTTGAAAATAACACAACAGGTTTATTTGACACTACGAACCACAAGTCATTTCAAGATCGTAGACAATGTAATCTTACAATAGAGCTCACCGGTAGCGTATTGTTTGAATTTAGCGAGGATCGAGATAAGAAAGCGGTGACCCCAACACAGCGGCAGAAAAGAAGACTTGCATTTTACCCCTCTAAAATATTTTTGAAGAAGTTCGTCATAGACATCACTAAAAACACTCGAAAAATTATCAATATGCCGACTGAATTAGAAGAGGTAGAACTCAGCTCCGAGTCTATTCATTTAAATTATGCTAACTATTATTCAAGCTCGTCGATTTTATATCGCACGGAAACACTCAAGTGCGAACGATCGGTATGTTTAACATATTTGAACCACCCGCTCAAACGTTGACTGATTTGCGCCATAACAGCCGTGGAGAATTTGATTCCATATTCATTATCGCAGCCTTCAATATTCAAGACAAATGAGCTTCTACCAGTAAAGGACTTAAAATTACTGGTCCGCGACTACAAAGTACGACTAAAACCTCGCAAACATAATCGTTGATAGAGGCGCGACTAACGCCTGTACAGCAAATAGCCAAAGATGCAATGACAATTCTCATAAACCTGTCGACAGACAAGGAAGTTTTGGAATATCTTGCGAGTGATAAAGAGTTCATCAATACTTTATTCAACAAATTGACAGTATGTCGATCTCCTTTCTGAGTCTTTAAACCGACAATGTCTAATAGCTCTTCACTCCCAGAATCCCGCAGAACCAAATGCAAATCTCATTGCCATGCTATTCGCAAATCTTGCGAAATGGGACGACCTGAAGGATATCATATTTCTTGAACGTCCTGCGCCGAAAGAACTAACCTCGAATAATCGCGCGATCGATCAACTGATGGACCTCTTCGTGAAGGGTGCAGATGGAACATACAATAAAGAGGCCGATTATGACTACCTCGCATATTTGTTCGCAGATCTAGCCAAGCACGAAGAAGGACGAAAATACTTCCTGACAAAACAAGAATACGATGGGGTTGTACCTCTCACAAAAATGACGGTTTTCACCGAACACAAATCAGACATTCGCCGAAAAGGAGTTGCATCGACGATAAAAAATGTTGCGTTCGAAATCGAATCACATCCTTCGTTCCTGTCAGAGGATGAGATCAATATCTTACCATACTTACTGCTACCTATTATGGGGAATGAGGAATTCGATGAAGAGGAAACTATGGCAATGCTACCAGATCTACAACTATTACCACCAGATAAGGAGAGGGATAGTGATCCCGTTATCATGCAAACACATGTGGAAACATTGATGTTGCTCACAACCACAAGAGAAGGGAGAGATATTATGAGGGAGATCAAGGTTTACCCAATCATAAGGGAATTGCATTTGAAGGTTGATCACGATGAAATGAGAGAGGCCTGTGAGAGACTGGTACAGGTTTTGATGCGAGATGAGGAAGGAGACGAGAAAGTGGACGCAGGCATGAAGACTTTGGCCCGAAGATCTGACAAACCTTCTTCCTCGCCAAAACCATTCTCATCGCAGTCAAATGGTATCGCAGGAAGTTGGGCATCACAAGATGCAGAAGACCCTGCATCAGACTCGGACGATGATAAAATAGTAGAAGTATAGATTCAAAATACTGAATATAAAAAGTTCATTTCCTCATTTGTCATACCGACATCATCTCACATTTCATCCGTATATACTAAATAACCCCCCACCCCCTCCCCTCAACAATATCTTTCTTCCAGACCACCATCTCAACTCAAGGTAAAACTATTACTAACCGCTGTGAAGGGACTAATCGTTCCCAAAACATTCTTTGAATCCCCATTATACCTAACCCTATAGGTACCCGCCGTTGTTCCATCTCCAGTTCCCGTCTCCCAACTCACAACAACACTACTAGTACCCGTCAAGCTATTAACTCTCGTCCATGTATACACCAAATACCAATCCTTATCATCTCTCACCGTTGTCCAATTCCCGTTCGAGCCCAATTGTTCAACCGCCGTAAACGTACCCTCCAATCTTAAGTTGTTGCGAGGATTGGCTCCCACAAAAGTCGTGTTTACTACAGATCCGATCTTGTAGGATGCAGCTGGTTGGACGGATACGCTGCCAAATGATCCACTATCATATGCTACTCCCGTTATGAAACTCAAACTCGAGTTGACATTGTTTGGTGGACTGGGTCCTGGAGCAGGCGTACTGCTATTGGTAGCGGAGAGATATCCGATGGCGGATGTGGTAAGATGGATGTAGGCATCTAACTCATGTTGGCCAAATAAAGTCGAAGCACCTTCGTAGCGTTGGATGGAATATTCCTCGGGAGTGGCGAGATAGTGAGCGTATGTGTTTGCGGGACCGCCGAGAACTACTTTGGGGGTGGCGGTGGTTATTTTGGAAGATACGGCTGCGGCGGAGATGGCGGATTTCCAGCGTCGTCCGGACATAGTGGTTGCTTCGGAGGGGGAGATGATCATTATTAGTTGTCCGACGCGAAGGAGTTGCACGTCGACTTGAGCGAGTTAGTGGGTTAAGGTAAGTTTGGTGATGTGAGGGAGACGAGGTGAGAAGATGTGAGATAAATGTTGAGAAGGGAGTCAAGAAATAACTTACCAATATTGGGAGACCAAGCATAAGGACTTGACATCTCACCCACATCTAGAAGAACAGGCTTGGGATATTGACAAGCAACCTGAAGATTATTAATACTAGATCCATGATAATCAACGCCCGTAGGACTGGAAACATACCTGTTGAGTAGTTGGTACTCGGAGAAGACCAGATACCAGACTCCAAAGAGGATTTGAGGGTGCACCTGGATCATTCTGTACAAAGTCAAAGGCTCCCGGTCCATCGGTTGTACCGGCCGCAAATGAATATCCCAATGCTGCAGGGCATGTTTGGACAATCGATCCATTTGCGAGAGGGAAGTCATAGTATTGCATATCTTGGAAGAAATGGAATGATTTGACACTTCCTCCAACGATAGGAGTACCGACTGAATCCAATGTGTTCTAAACAAATCAGAATTTGATCAAAATCCTCTCGACAGAAGAAAAGAGAAGACTCACGTAGAGAGCTTGAGCTCCGGTATATTGTCTCTGTCCAATGATATAACAACTTTGAGTTCCCAAATCTAATGCTTGGAAAGCTGGGCCTCTTCCATGGCATGTCTCGGAGATACCCGCGCAAGTACTGTTCTCTAGGGTACATTGTTGACCAGAACCATCGTCGCACCAGGCGCCAAGAACGTTTGGTGAGGTGTCTCCGACGCTTGATTGTGAGAAACCAGCGACGAAACCTGGAGCGGCTTTAGGGTCTTCTAGGGCTGCTTTCTCGAACAGATAAGCTGCCACTCCTTTATTGTCACCTGAATTTAGAGTGCTTAGTCAGAAGATGTATCTCTCATAGGGAATATTTGAATAACTTACCAGTGACATGTGTGTTGTTTTCCAACATGGAAGTACCATGAACACTGAACCATGTCAAAACGCCAATGTTCAATCCATCTGAAGCTCGCTGGAATCGAAGCATAGATAATGTCTTGTCAACATTATCCGTATATAATGCCCTTTCCGCTGCAGGGTTGGCAAGATATGCGTAAAGACTGCGGTTGATATTTGCATCTGTGATGTTTGTGTCTCCGGTGGTTAGATATCCAGTAGTGAGCGAGTCATGGGCCCTTTTAATTGAGAGAACTGCACCATCAACAATTGCTTGGTAGCTTTGCTTATCGAAACCCAATGACGTAATCTGTGGTAAAAGATAATTGTAGTATGCTCCTGGACCAGAATGTTGATGTGTTCCCGTGACGGCAATATTGTTTTGCCCGTAAATTGCATATGCCGGCCCCAATGCAGCTAATCCTTGAAGTATTCCATATCTGATTGCAGTATCCCCAGATGCTGTGTCGAGAACTAGGTAGACAAATCTGTTGGCAGGGGTGTTTACATCACCGACAATAAAGGCTCGGGAGTAAATGCGTTGACGCAGCCCTGTTCCGACTTGTGGGAGACTAGCATAGCCCATAAAGTTTATTTCAACAACAGGACTATTGAGTGACATCAGTATAGCAAGAGAGTGTAGGGGCCGAGCTCGAGTCTTACCCTGTGATATCAGCCTTGCCGACTCCAATGAGATATGGGTCACCCGTTGCTCGAGTTTCGTGTTCATGATTATTTGCCCATCCAGAATTGGTATTGGAATACTCGTTGATTGGCTGAACGTCTTCAATCTTTGCAAGTCCCACAACTAATGCAGTAAATGCAGTGAACAAAACAAATCCAGCTAATGTCAAGAATATTGCACTTGCTAGAGACCTTTTGCGAGGAGCTTCTGGTCGTTCATTCTCCGACTTTTCATCGGCCAGAACCTGTGAATATTCAAACCTCGACATGATCAATAATCAAGGTGCGAAAACGTAGCAAGAAAAGAAACATAAGTAAAAGGATGGTAGCAGGTAGATAATATATCATCCAAAAACAATAATCATATCGGTGTGGTTCGCGTGGTAGCATCATTGTTACACGTGCCATCTTTTGACCTTGCAGAAAAACATTTGATTGAAGATTCAAACGGAAGTTTGGACCGATGAAGTACTCGCGCATGGTAGTTTTCAATCATGATAGCATTGCTTGTACCTCAATGTAACGAGGGGCTCGCTGATCAATTTCTTCTTCAGTATCATCACCCGATTGCATCCCCTGACGAGCCTTTGTACGACCTATAGTTTCGCTTGAATCTTAGGAAGTCAATTAAACTTGCTACTGCATTGATGATGCCTGTCCAATAGATAATGCGGGGGATTAAGCCTTCATGGTTTATCTCGAGTCCTCTTCGCAGGGGAGCTCGGGGAACCTGTTCTTGATCATAGACTGTTAGATTTAGCAGGTCGTTGATTCAAAAACCTGACCGGCTGCAACCATATTGACTTCTTGGCATATTTGTATCGCAACTTGGACATGGTTGATTGATACCAATATCTCTTGCCAAGGCGCCCTCCATCTGCGAGCATGGGGGAGGGAGGAGGGGGGATTTAGGCTGAAAAGTAAACGTGAAGGAATCATTTCTGCAGTTTTTCTGTACAAGTGCATAACTTTAGCGTAATAGAATTGAATTGATAGGATATTGAAATAGATGTACTGTAACCCATGCAACCTTTACTAGCACTTAGATTCCTCACGTCGGTTTTATATATCAAAGTGTGAATTCCACGCGAGCTAAACTTTCCCCATCTCTAAGAAAGTAATTGATGGTATTCTCATAGAGATATGTGATAAGAGATTGTATGGAAGTAGACTTGTCACTTGAAATCAAAATCATATGCCTGAAACCATAATAGGATTTGATGGTAAGTACCAGGTATTGGAGCGAGAAGATAAGGATTAAATTGATAGCTGAAGTGAAGCGTGCATGATGTGCATGTGCGTGTGTTAAGCCTCGGCTGCTACTTGATCTCGTGACCTTGACTTCTCGAGCCCTTGCAGCCAACCTTGCCAACTGCGCCAACTCTTCGAATTCCCTACCGGGAACACACTTTACAGCGCAGAATGCGTGAAGATATGCTCCGGGGGTGTCAATAATTGGTCGTCGACGAACCACTCAGGCCGATTTGTGTTATCACAAACTTCATTCTCAAGCCGGTTTTCAAAGCTTCTGAATTGTAGACAATTAAGGCGGGAGATCTACCACGACGATCAGAGCCCATCAAGCGGTCTAGCGCAAGAATCGACCTTGTCCCCTTCGAATTCCATACAACATGATGCCGGGGATATATTTCGATCGAAGCTGTAACGTGCATCCTACGAAGTGTGGTAAAGGAAGTAGAGTCGAGCACAATAGCTTCTCCGTGTAGCGGCAAAATCATTCGCCGAGATGCTGCGTTTGTTATTCAATTGTGGAGCCTTGAAGAAATCAAAGGATGACATTAGCTATACTTCATTTATATTTATAGAAATGAGAAAGTTGGCAAAGTCCTCCATGAGTCTGGTAGAAAGGTTCCCAAAGGAGAAGGGTAAGTCAGAGATGCTAGAACTGAGTTCGAAAGACAATTCCTCAGAATTCTGAGCTTGACTATACATTCTATGCCGGCTGTGTCACTGCATGTCTGTCTGGTTTGCAGGACGTTTATACAAGCAATGTTGAAGATCAATTCGCCAACTTAAACGGAGATATATAAACAAGATTCGATTCTGGAAAAATAAATCAGTCATCGTTCAAATCTTTTTAAAGAGACTTCGATGGTCAAACACTCAATTGACCGCACACTTGAGACTTGTCAAACAATTTCGGACCATCTGACATTTCCAGCAATGATACGCTATTGTAATAACGTTTTCTGTTTTAGAGGTTCCATTTTCGCTTTGTTATAAAAGAAACTCGCTGCTGCTAGAGCAAAGCTTTGGAAGTTCAAATTGCTTTACATTTGTCCATCTTGCAAGATGCTACTATGTCAATATCATGGTTGGTATCATTGATATATTTGTTAACATACGATGCCTAGATATCTAGTCTTTTGGGATTTCTGGAAAAGAATTAGTAAATACTTCTAGAACAATGTTCTTTTCAAAGATTGTCTTTTTCGATAATGATCACATTGTTCTTCACGCTTCGCTTAACGA